ATATATATATATATATATATATATATATATATATATATATATATATATATATATATATATATATATATATATATATATATATATATATATATATATTTATATATATATTTCATGTAAATCCACAATGAAAACGTGGATAAGATAAATCTTGATAAGGTACTCCGTTGTTTCCATTTTCCCGTGTGATTTTATCAAGATATATATATATATATATATATATATATATATATATATATATATATATATATATATTGTATCTATGAACCTACAGAAGCCGTAATATCGTAGTAGCTATTTAAATAAAACTTAAAACTAAAATGACAGCCTGGTGAAAACACACTCCGTTAAGTAAACTCTCTCCATAAAAGTCAACCGTAATTGGCCAGTATTTTGCCGCGTACGCTGCATGAAATGAGATCAATTAAAAGAAAAAAAATGACTACTTGGGAATAAAACTGCGGTGATTGAGGCAGTTACCCCTCCCCGTTTTCTCTGATGATCTATTAGACTAAAGTACGGAAGTTCACCCTGGGGTAGCGAGTTGTGGCAGTGTTATCTGTTTAGATAGATGGATAGACTTAAAACACATACACCAAAATGTTTAACAGAGAAACCTTAGTTAAATACATACGTCTGGCACTGCCGAAGCCTTACACGAACATCTCATACCGTAAAAGTAATATTTGCTTCTTCCTCGTGTACTGTAACGCCTATCTGTCTGTTCCGAAAGTCTGTCTGCTTTGGCGTTTACCTGTCCTCTCTGGAGCGCCAAAACAGTAAAACCAGACAACGCAGAATAACTAACTAGACAACATATTTCACTCGCTCTCTGACTATTTACAATTTATTGTTGTCATACATTAAAACTTTTACAATGCTCCTCTATTTTATTATTGCAACGCTCTTCCTGCCCCCTTCCCCAACCCCGCCCCCTCTCTGACCCTCTTCGTTAACTAACCCCCTTCCTTTCCCTTCCCCCAAAACCCATCCCTTTAACCCAAACCGTCCCATTCCCCACACCCCTTGCTATCCCTTCCCACACCCACTTCCCTTCCCTTTCCCCCCTGGCATGTGTGGGGGAGGGGGACTGGTACCTATTAGGATTTGGGTCTGTTACCACACTAGTAACCATTAAGACTGGGACCTATAAGCCCTAGGAACCATTTGCACAGTGGGAGAGAAGTGGGGGTGTGGAGGGAGGGGAAGGGGGCAAAGCTTTCTGGCACAGTTTAATGGTGACGGATTCAGACATTACACAGACGACACATTCACACCTACTTGGCCGCCAGTTGAGTACACTTACCCTCACACAGGTTAAGATGGCCTCTTTCGTTATATATATATATATATATATATATATATATATATATATATATATATATATATATATATATATATATATATATATATATATATATATATATATATATATATATATATATATATATATATATATATAGATATAGATAAAGAAGATTCGTACGTTCGCCGTTTTCCTTAACCTAAAGCAAAAAAAAAAAGTTGCATATAGTTTCGATAAAATCTTGGCGCATTTTCGAGATTATTCTGAATCGGCCGAAAAATTTTATACGGTTCCGGGATCCAGCAAGGAAAGGCATCCCCCCCCCCATCCCTCATCCTTTCCCTCACTAATCGATCCGAACGACCCTCAAGGAGATTCAAGTCACAGTGAGGAGAATCGGACACGTGAGGGTTTATATTCTTGTCTGGGAGTGAGATGCCAAGTACTATAAAACGGGGCTCCTACATGCAAATGACGTTTATTTCAAATGACTTTTTATTCATTCTTACGTTTAATGTCGACCAACTCTTACCAACAACTGTGAAACAACTTTAAAGGCTCTTTCACGTGCATCAATTCAAAACTTTCCGGGTGCATTCGATCTCGTTCGTAACCAAAACATCAATTAAACTTGCCTTCTTCAGACTGGCGACGCGGCGGGTGAGTTGCCAAGTACCATATAACGGGGCTCGACCACCCTGCATTATCCCTACACACGGAGCATCACACCTTGACGTCAATTTCATAATTACTGGAATACCTTTGCCCCTGTAACACTCTCAAAACCACACACTTATTTTTTTTTTTAGATAACAGTTGAACATTAGTGAGTGTTGCTGTACGCTGAGGTATAATGATAAGAATAATTGGGGGAGAAAAGCACAGGGCGTTAATGTACTGCAGTTGCTAATAATAGTGACGGGATGACCTTGACGGTGCTGCGGGTCTACTGGCCGACCTTCCTTGTTTATTGTGTACACTAGCCAAGTACACTGTGCCCACGTACACTATGACATGTATACATTATCCACGTACAGTCGGGGTCAAAAGTCTTGAACACTTGACCTGAAGATCTTAGGTATTAAGGAGAGTTTTATCCCATTTTGTGGTTCAGTCATAATATGTGATGACAAGTAGTGTTATTAGTATATCTCAATCATATATGTATAACTCAGAAGTAGATGCCAGATATTGCTAAATATTCAAGACTTTTGACCCCGACTGTACATTGTGTCCCCATGTGCATTACCCACATACATTGTGCCCACGTACACTATGTCATGTACATTACCCACGTACACTATGCCATGTAAATTACCCACGTACACTATTCCATGTACATTACCCACGTACACTATGTCCACATACTGTACACTACCCACGTATATTATGCTCACGTAGACTATGCCATGTACAGTACACTACCCACGGTCCCATGCCCACTACCCATATCTTAACTATCTCGCTCCATCAACAGCAGTCTCTCTCAGTACCTCCACCCTGACGGAGGCCCAGTGTAGCCACAGAGAAGTATCCGGTAGCAGTTAACTTCCCCTACACACCGTAACTCCTGCATTGGCGCTTTTTTTTTTTACTTTAAATTCATGGAAGATTTTTATATTCTAATTAAAACGATTCAGGTGTCGAAAACCATTGATCATTTGTCTTTTAATTTCAGAAATGTGATTCGAAGTAATTTGAATATTTTTTTCTCTAATTACGGTGTGAAAGTAAATCAAAGTAATATCCATTCAACATGATTGAATACTTTAACGTGACTGTTCGCCTGATATATTACCCCATAGCTTATTTTACCTGACGTGTTAAAAAACCTAACACTAATTGGAGGTTAGGTTAGGTTTGCAGTAGTGTTAGGTTTAATTAGTGTTACGTTTTGTTATGTTAGGGTAAGGTTGGTAGGTTAGTGTTAGGTTTGGTTAGCGTTGGTATTAGCTTTAATTGGTGTTAGGTTAGGTTAGTTTATCACTAGTGTTAGGTTTAATTACTGTTAGGTAAGTCAGTTAGGTTAGGTTAATCTTCAGGTGATCTCCAACATTTTCTTTATTCGCGTCACTCAGTTCTTCTACCTGCATTTTCTGACCATCTAACCGAGAACAATTTCCTACCGACACCCCATTGGCCCACTCACACCACCACAAGCTCCTCAATCACTCGTCACAAACACTGGTAGCTGTTGGCCACTATTAAACACATTATCTTCCCTTCAATAATCCAACAGAACGTAAAAAACATATAAAAATGAAAAATTACACACTAATATTTGTCCCATTTTACCATTAAAAAGTCCCAGCTATTTAATTATCAAGAAATAATAAGGGTTCAGTTAATGTCCCCGGGAGTCATTTAAACGAAACACTAATTATAAAAGAGTCAACAGTAGTCGACTTGAGTTGCATATTAGAAATTATATATTTTTTTTACTTACTGTACTGGTTCGGTGAAGTAAGCTGATCATTCCTCCACGGTGTCATTTAATGCGATGAAAGACACGCAAGATAATTATTACACAGCTTCGAGAATATCACTAACATTACTAAATAGATTTTCTTCACATATTCTGCCAATGATTACAAGTGACGGCAACACTTAACGTTATAATGTATCACTGTCCTGCATTAATGACCTCAGTAAATAACACTTTACACTATCATCTCACTTATTTATCCAATTATACTGTTCTTTGTCATTTAAATAATAATTGTTTGCAGTATTACGTCAGATCGAGATAAAAGTTACGTGTTGTGAGTCAATTTAAGCGGCCACAATCGTCTCCTTATGACACCAAATACCAAATACATTTAAAAAATAAGTAATTGTTTTAATTGTTCCTTTATGGGGTTGTGCAGTGTATGAAGTAATCCGTAACGCTGAATAATAATTAATATATTGTAATGTTAAGTAGCAACCAAGAAAATAAACACTGGACGTAAAACAAATATATCTTTTGAAAGACTAAAAGTATAAGCTGATGATATGAACTGGTTCCCGCTGTTAAATAATCAACAGGTATAGATACCAAATGACGGGTTTATTGTTAAACTAAGCGTCTTTAGGCTGTAATAAACGTGAAAATGGTCCTAAGAATATAATACACATTATATTTTCTCCACCAAGAAAATTTTAATTTCGTGAATTATTTATGTAGAGCGCAACTTGCTGCCACGCATTAGTCTCGCTGCCTCACGTACAACCAATTTATTATTCAGTTCCATGTATAAAAATTTTTCACACGAGCTTAGTATTAAAAGCATTGAAATATACCTAAAATTTTATAAAGGAACGTATAATTGTAAGTTTATTTCATATTTATTAATGGAAATGAATATACTGTACGCCGTAAAGGTTTTTCCCGCGTCTCCCCAGTAATGAGACGTCACCACCCCATTGTGTGTATCTGTGCCGTTTAAAATATGGTGTTCGGAGGAGTATATTTATAAGTTATTTATAAAAAAAATATATGTAAGGTATATAACTATTAATTATAACAAACATAAAGATAAAGGAGAAATACAACCATTCTAGTCACTACCTGGTGCATGTTTTTTTAAAGAGTTACTGATATTTAAAAATTAAACTTTTTTTATTTATTTATTTTTAACTGAAACCTATATTTACGGGAATATACGGATCATAAGGTGTAATAAACTTAATCACTAACTCAGTTTTGTGTTTACAGTGAGGGGGAGGAGGATGGGAGACTGTTGCCAGATGGGCGTGGCCACCCTACTGACCTGTCTGGTAAGACCTGTTCCAGCTAACACTCTTCTCTGTGCTGGCAACACTTTGTTTACCTCACTACGGTGATAAACAGTTGACTTGCTCACTCCTCACTTTCCTCTAATCCATCTCTCTGTAATACAATTAAAATTAATTACTCAAGTATCATTAAGTGTTTATTTAATTAGGATATTCTCATACTGGTTATGTACGTACGAGTATTCAGTGTAATTAACTTTTTTCTTCATGATTTTTTTTTCTGGTTATAAGCTAAAATTAAATTTGACTCTCTCTCTCTCTCTCTCTCTCTCTCTCTCTCTCTCTCTCTCTCTCTCTCGTTAAAGTATTCATGAATATTTTATTACAAGCGACACATTTTCATTCTATTAGACACTGACATAAAAAACATGTCTCAACACATTCTCTCTTGGTGTTCCGTGATAGGTTCTCCAGGCAACAGTGGGCGTGGCCCAGCAGGGTCCCCAGTCCTACTATTGGTCAAGAAATCGGGGTGACTCCTCCCACTTCTCCCAGCGCTCCTCGCACATTGGTCCGCTACCGCATGTGAATGACGTCATGACGGAGTGGTCACGCTGGAGCCCCTGGGACCGTTGTTCGAGGTCAGTTAAGGTCACAGCCCCATGCAGGGAAAAAATGAATCTTGTATGACCTGTTGTATGACGTATAACCTGTATGAAGTATGACCTGTGTGTACTGTAGTTCTCTCCATCTACAGGTCATGTGGTGGCGGCGTCAGGTCCAGGAGCCGAACCTGTGTCACTAGGTTCCCCAGGTATGACCCGAATTATATTATAAATGGACCTGAATTATCATATAGGACCTGAAGAGTCATTAACGGACCTGAATTATGACACAGGAGCCGAATCATAATAAATTAACCTAATAAATGGACTAATGGGTCGCTGGTTAGATTACGGGGCAACCTAACCTAACCTAACCAAACCTAACCTAACCTAACCTAACCAAACCTAACCAAACCTAACCTAACCAAACCTAACCAAACCAAACCTAACCAAACCAAACCTAACCTAACCTAACCTAACCTAACCAAATAACTAACACCCCTCCCCTCCCCGTTACAACCACTTCTCTCCCCAGGGTGATGCCGGGCTCTGGGGTGAGGACGAGCCATGACAGGTGTGCTGGGGGTGACAGTGTGGAGTACGGGGTGTGTGGGGTGGCTCAGTGTCCCCCCGCCCAGGTGTCAGGTCTCTCCTTCAGGGCCGCCCAGTGCCGACACTACAACAACAAGAGAGTGTTTGGCCGTCTCGTCAACAACTGGGTCCCTTATACACAGGGTGAGTGATGGTGAGAGATAGTGAGTAGTGATGGTGAGAGATAGTGAGTAGTGGTGAGAGATAGTGAGTAGTGGTGAGAGATAGTGAGAAGTGGTGGGAGATAGTGAGTAGTGGGGGTGAGAGATAGTGAGTAGTGGGGGTGAGAGATAGTGAGAAGTGGTGGTGAGAGATAGTGAGTAGTGTGGGGTGGAGAGATAGTGAGAAGTGGGGGTGAGAGATGGTGAGTAGTGGTGAGATAGTGAGTAGTGGGGTGAGAGATAGATAGTAGTGAGAGAGATAGTGAGAAGTGGGGTGAGAGATGGTGAGTAGGGTGGAGATAGAGAGTAGTGGGGGTGAGAGATAGAGAGTAGTGGGGGTGAGAGATAGTGAGTAGTGGGGGTGAGAGATAGTGAGTAGTGGTGAGAGATAGTGAGTAGCAGTAGTGGTGAGAGAAAGTAAAAGAAGAAAATATTTATTAATATTATTATTATCAAACTTTATATATTTTCTTTCCTGGTAATGATAACGATGATGATAATAACGACGGTCACTACGAT